GAAGTATCTCAAATCAAAATTAAATATATAATAGATCAAATTACCAAAGTTTCTGTTTTAGAATATTAGTTAATGAGTTAACTCATAAGGAAGTAAAAAACTTCATTATATGTATTATGTTTTGGGATTACAATAAGAATATGTCATTAGTCATTAAAGTCAACCTTGAACATTTGCAAAATTATACTAACAAGTTAGTATCTGACATTGTTCTTAATTCTATAATAAATCACAAACTTGATTCCAAAAAATATCTAGTTTGGGTAACTGATAATACTGTATATATATTTAGTAATATAAAAGATGTAGTGATTCAATTAATAAAAAAACCAATATTAATACAATATAAATTGGTTGTAGAATATATATAATATATATAGTTCTATCATATTTTGAAGAAGAAGTATTTAGAAAATTATTTTTCTCAATCAGATTGTCAAAAAAGTTATAACTGTTTAACTTATTATATCTTGCTTGATATTTACATGATAAATATAATTCAAGTAATAAAGAAAAATCTCTTAATATAAGTTTAGAAAAGATTAAAAAATTATATAATAAATTATTAGAGTACTATTTTTTATAATATTAATTGCTAATTAAAGATTACTAAAAATATGAACTATGTGCTGCTAGACAGTATTTGGATCAGTATGAAGCACATATAATATTTATTAGTTGGTTCATTTAAATGCTTAAAAATAAACATGATACATCAGAATCATATCTTTTAAATTGGCAATTATTTCAAACCTAGCTTTTAGATAAAAAATTAAACATTCAAGTTTAATATTTAGTTAAATTTAGATAACATTTATATAAATTATTTATGCAATTCATAATTAAAAAAGACCCAATACCTTGTATGCTATTAGATAATTATTTAATTCAACTTCTGTCTGATTAGTGAGTTTATAAAATGTCTAACAAAGTAATTGAATAGATTAGTTTTTTAAATGAACTTGAAGAAAACTTTGATATATTTTTTGAAGAAGAATTACTAATGGCATTAGAAAAACTTAAATAATAAAGTTTTTAGTGAATTGTTTGATAGTTTAGAATAAAGGATGAACAAGATATATGAATATTTTTTAAAATAGATGTTTTTATGGGTGCATTTACTATTGTTGATTTGCCAGTTGAATGGAAATTCTGATCATGAATTTATAAAAACATTCTACAATGTGATTCTGCAATTATTATGACTTTTAGAACTAACAGAATGTGAAATAGAATTTGTGCAATAATTATGTAATGATTTTAAAATTTTTAATAATATCTTTGATCTTCTAAAAGAATTATTAAATAACTTAGAATTTACAAATGAATTTCAAAGTTTTTGTTCTATGCCTAATCCTAAAATTCATAAATACCTGTTATTGTATAAATTTGTTAAAGAACGAATTTACTTTATTGTAATTCATCAACAACAAATAAAAGAGCTTTTTAACAAATTAGACTTAAAGATTCATCTTTATATGACTCAGAACATAAAACAGTCAAAATTATAACTTTTGTCGGAAAATGTAAATGAAGAAAACATTGCTTTGAGACTTAAAGAAGCTCATAAAAATAAAAGGCAAGCACAAGAATCTTTAGAAGATAATATAGAAATGTATAAAGAAGAAGTGACTGAAGTTTTTTTAGATTTACTTTGACCTTAAGTATACTGTATATCGAAGCTACATAGAATCTTTTATTTCTTTATTCATAACTATAATAAAATAGTAAAATAATTATTAATAAAAATTTAAAAAGTTCAACTGTTAAAAATAAACAAGTGTCAATGTTACTTACTATACTACGTATAATTGAAAGTCGGGTATATCATATAAATATAGGACTATACATGTATTTGATTTACATAGTGCATCGAACACCTCAACGTTTCACAGTCAATTACAGGCTTAAATGAAAAAGATTACTGGCGATCTAAAAAAAAAAAATTGGAGAGGGTTAAATAAAAAAAACCAAATAAAAAAACTAAATCAAATCTCTTTGTGAAATAATAAAATCAAACCTAAAGAACAAAGTTACAAAGGTTATTTTTTTAATTAACTAGTGTTTAATAGAGTTATCTCTTTTTAAAGTTAACCTACTTTATTAATTAAATTCAAAACTTGGCCACCTTAATTTAGGCTAAAATTACTAATAATATTTTTAACTCTGCCCAAAATTATTAATAAAACATACTATATTTAAATTTAATATTATAAAAAAAACCAATTTCTCTCTCTATAATACATATTTCTCATTTAATAGACTTATTATTAAATTATATTAGGCTATTTTTGCTATTTTTGTTAATTTGTCTCAAAACTTGGCCATTATATTTATGACTCATTTATTTAAGAATTCTTTTACTGTTAAATTATAAAAAATTTTTTGATTTTAACTTTGAAACCCCCTAATTAACAGTGTTTTACAAATTCAAAAATAAATTAAAATCTTATTTACAACCTTGGTTCAATTGCTTTAACAAATTAATTGCTTTCTCTGATTTATTTTTTACTGCTAACTCTAAATATTCTAATCACATCTTTTTATTTTATTTTGTTCTAAGTTTTCCGTTCATATAGATGTCTCCTAAATAAAACATTGCATCAACAATTTTATTATCAGCTGCTAATTTAAGGTAATGTAAAATTTCATTGCAATTTTTCTTTTTCGTAGCTTCGTCATCAGTACTTTTAAGGCTATGAAGCTGCATAACTGCATATCAATACTGTGATTCAGGGTGGTTGTTGTTATCAGCAGCTTCTTTAAACAGCTTTTTGGCCTGATCTAGGTTTTTTTCTACGACATACCTGTTGTAATAATAATATGCTTGCCAATATTTTGCTAATAGATCACCAAGCTTAGAATGTTGTTCGAAGCATTCCCACACAGCTTTGTGACCATTACTTTGATGAAACTCTATTCCTGTTTTAAGAGTTACTAAAAAACTGCTTGAATCATTAAGTTAATTATTTCCCAGTCATTATCAAATTTTGGTAACAAAGAATCCGAAGAAGTTGTTCTTGTTTGATTTGATTCTTTCTTTTCGTCAAAATCATATATTTTATTACGCAAAAGTGGTTGTGCATCAGGAGGAATAGGATATTTTGTAGACATACTATCAAGAACTGTATTGAATTTCATAATATCTATTCATCGAGTTGGTTCATAACGCCATGCTATTTATAAAGAAAAATCATTATTATCAATATAAATAAAAATTACAAGGACCAAATACAATTAATTACCTTCAATAATGATTTTAATAAATTCTAATTGAATCTCTTATCAATGAGGTCTGTAAGTTTCCTACGCTAAGTTCTTCTCGTTTACCACTTAAATATGCTCGGATACTTTCTTAACAAGATCATTGTCCCAACCCTAAATGCTATAAGGATATCTCTCGTAACAAAATTCCCAAATGAGCATTCCAAAACTAACCACAGAGAGTTATGATTATTAAAAAAGGTAAAAAAAAGTGAAAAAACAAAATACAATTTAATAAATTAAAAGTACCAAACCTAAATACTTTACAAAAGAGTGTATATCCTTTTTTAGATGCTTTTGTATACTTTTCGATCTGTTCAGGGGCCATCCAATGAATATGTTTTATTAAATCCAAAATATTCGAAGTATTTGCGTCTACTGTATGTGAATATTTGAAATTTCCAAGTTTTACATCCAAGTTTTGAGTTACCTATAAATTCATACATTAATAATTGCTGTTTATTACATAAATAAATACAATTTAAATTATTTACAAAAATATTATCGCATCTAAGATCGTGATGAAATACATTCGCCCAACGTAAAAATACAATACCACGACAAGGAATATCGAAACTGTTATAGACTTCTGTCAAAGTCCCATGATGGGCCCATTCAAAATCATAACTTCACAATTGCCATCACCCGTATCAGCTCGTGATAAACCATAAAAATGAAGAATGTATGGCGGTTTACATAATTTTCCAAGAATTGTTAATTCAGTTTGATGCTGACTATAGTCTTTAATAGGTTTACAAGCAACATCAGCCACTTGGTAAATAACCTTCCTAAAAACATGATGACGAATATCATTTTTGGTTTTATATGCAGGATCATGTAAATCAGCTGGATTAATATTCTTCGCATGAAACTTCTAAAATATTCATTGTATTCACATTTTCATACATCGAAGTAACTTTATCATCCATTTAAGTAACTATATTGCACACCGAAATAAGTTTACCATCAAGTTTCTCGAGATTCTAGAATAGATATATATATATATATAATTTAAAAATAATATAATAAATATATTTAAAAAATTCTGCTTACTTTTTCACCGTTTTCCAGAGCTTTATCGGCTTGTATTTTATTGTCAATATTGATGAAATCATCATATTCTTCTCGCAATTGATTAAATTTATTCCTAATATCTGTTGCACGAAGGTACATTTTATAGCCTTTCAAGAATGATGTTCCCTTAACAAAATCTCTGATCTTTATCAAAACATTCTCAAATTTTTTAAGAATTAACTTTTTCTCGTCCAAATAATCCTCACAATTCGTATTTTTTACAAGTATATCAACGTGATGTTCTGCCTTTATTACTAGTTCCTTCAATATTAAGCATAAATTTTTATTAGATTCGGCATTTCCATGAATTTGATAAATTTCCTTGACCAGATTTTTTGCCCCTGTAAAATTAGGAAAATTAGGAAAATAGATAACTGCAAAGGCATTAGTCGAAGCAATTTCAAAGTTTGCGCTCTTTTTAGAACACTTAATAAAATTAAATTACGATTGTATGTGTTTTGGCATTTGTTGGACTCGTTCGACCAAAAATTGTTGAATTGCAGGTTCTGGTATAATCGAGTGCTTGTTGAAGAGGGCTGTCTGTGATGTATCAGTAAATGAATCTAACAATACACAAGCGATTAAGTAATCTCGTAATGATTTATGGAAAAACCAATATTGATTTCCGCGTCGAATTAATGGCATGCTAAAACGAATCAAGCGACTTTTTTCATCTGCATTCCCTAAAAACGTTGTCCAGTCCGATGTAATCTTCTAATTTATTGAATCATAGTTTACAACTACTTTGTTATTTGTCCATAAACATCTTGAAAGCAAATTCTTTACCAAATTGTAAACAATGTTTAGTAAAGTCTACATTTAAGCTATCAAACTCTTCTCGTTCTTTAGGTTTTAGTTGAATGTTTTGCAAGCGATTTTGAGCACGCTCAAACCATTTCATAATAAATTCGTCATACAAAACCATACGATTTATTTGAGACGTTTTTGTTTTTCCGAGAAGGCTTGGTAACACGGTCAAAGTAATTTTTAATAGAATGGGATTGCATACAAGATCTTTAATTTGTGGTATATTTTTTATTTGCTGTATATATGTGTCTGCATTTAATGGTAATGGACTAACCGATTATAGCCCAACCGGTCCAAATCTCTAGACTAAAATAATGGTATAATAAATCTAAAAAATAAAGTTTTATAATGTAGTAAAGATAATTACAATTACTACTTTTGTAGTAAATAATTACTACATTACTACATATCATAATTTGAATTACGATGCCGAAGGGGCCCTGAAATGATGCATATCAAATTCACTGCCAGATAAACGAGTTGTTGGCTGGGTAGCATTCAATAATAGTATTATCCGGTGTCTTACTATGATCGTACCAACAGAATGACTCGAGTTCTTTTGGTGATGATCGCTTCATCATCAAATAACAGAGTTATTTGATAATGATGCAATCATCATCAAAATAACTCGAGTTATTCTGTTGGATAAAAAATAATTACCAATTTGGTAATTTCAGTTAACTGTAATATCTGATACTGATTTGAGTGATGTAGGAAAACCTGTAAGTAAAATTTTATTCATTAATCACTTAGAGACTTGGAACTGGACGTGACCAATCATAGGTTATGACAAATAATAATTCATTATCGTTATGATTGTGACGGTTATAAGTAAATGTTTATTTATGATTAGTATGATTAGTCACACCCCCATGCCAAATAGTTAAGATCGGCATAATGATTATCAGTATCTAAATCAAAATTATAACGATAACGAATAACGACAGTCTTTTTTTTCTCTTATAAAGACCGAAAGTTCGAACTGGACCTATTGTTATGCATTTAATAAGAACTCATTTTTTGCTTCAATCTTATTTACCGAAGTTTATGTTTCTTAGACCCTTTTATATATTAATACCAATTTAATTCACGAAATCCAATTTTTCCACTCCTGAAATTGTGAGAAAATTAAAGATCAGATAAATATGTGAGATTTGTTTTTATAGCGTTTTTAGTGTTAGTTATAATGTTGCTTAAAATGCTTTAACTGATTTAGCTGATTTCACTGACAAAGTTTGCACAGGACTGAACCTAGTGAAAATATTCTTGAATTTAGGTGAGAAATCACTAAGTTAATTTTTTGTCGTTATGTATCTGAAGTTACGCTGCCACTAGGGCAACATCGGAGAACTGGAAGCACATCGTGGCCACAGACATGCAATGTCTGTGAACGTCCTTTTCTGTTATGTTTGTTCCGAAAAGCTAGTCCTGCTTCGCGCGGAGGTTGTGGTGAATAGGATGCAATTAATGATTACTTATATAATTTTTTTTTTCTTTATAGATCAGGTAAATAGTCTGATCTGATTACAATAAAATAAACCCATAAAGTGTATAGGGTTGAATAGTATAATATTTTGTAGGCTTGGTGAGAAAGCAATGACTTATTTATTGAAGAATACATCAATATTTATTTATCTTTCAAATAATTCTTATCTTTAAGTAAACGGTAAAAAATACAACTTCTAACTATGACAAATTATACATATGAAATTCATAATTAAATTTATTTATTATCAATTAGGTATTGCAATTAGTGAATACCTAAACCGATTATTGATCTTCAAAAGTCCAAAAAATTTCTAAAAACATTCCATCTCATGAAGTTTTTGAAGAAGTGTCATCTTAAGAAACCTTTAAAGGAAAACGACCTTTTGAAAGGGTGCTATCAAAAAACTTTTGAAGAAACGACACCTCAAGATATGTATATGGACTTACAGCATGAATCTGAAATTTTCATCTCAGATCATTTCAAGAACCTTTAAAGAAAAAGGAATTTTTAAAGGATTGTTATTTCAGGAAACTTTTATACGTAGAGAGCATGCCGCAAGATATGTATATGGATTGGAATATTTGAACAATGTGATGTCATCTCAAGAAACCTTTAAGGGAGGACTGATCTTTGAAAAGGTATCATCTCAGGAAACTTCTACAGAAATGATACCACAAGATTTATATATGGACGTATATGAGTCTAAAATTGTCATCCTGGATCTGAAAATTTTGAATGATGAGAAATATACATCAAAAGTAACATTAAGTCTTATATATAATGGATATTGTGATGATTATAGAAATGATTTTAGAAGTAACGTTCTGTGGTTATATTTTATTGATTGAATCAATAATATTCACTGGTTAGCCAAAAAGCGGACTCTAGATAATTCCTATTCACAAGATAAAGAAATTTCTAAATTCAACTTCTACATTTTTTTTTTGGTTGTTGTCGATCCTAACAGGCGCAAAACGCTCCTACAGATGATACGTAGCTCTTATATCCAGGATTTCAACGCTAATTCGAATCTATATCAGGTGTGATGAATAATCTTATGATTTGATATTTATATTTTCTAATATATAGTCTTTATATTTTAAATAAATATAGGTTACCACATTTGTTCGTGCAGTGCTGAAACAAGCAATTCTCATTATTATTATTATTATTACGTATTATCATCATTTTAATATAGTCTGTAGAAAAGTTCATCGCGCTTAAGTATTATGAAGAACTCTCGCTACACTATGTTTTGGATAAATTCAAAGTATATAGAGTTTATCTGTTACGTATTTTATTATCCACATATTATACTATATCAGTGCAAGTGGCTTTTTGTGGGGGTAATAAAAATAACAAAGTTGAAGCTGATAAGAGATCCGAACTATTATATGAATTTTGTGGAAAGTCTTCTAAACTACGTGGTTCATTATTCAGTTTTAATGAGTTTTCTGAACGTTTGAAAGAATTTAAACGAAATCTTACTAAAAATAAGCATGCATGGTATGTCAATACATATGTATATAGTTCTAGTTTTTGGTTATTACGTACTTATTTTTTTATTTTACAGATTAAGATTATACTTCGCAAAAGTGGATGTTCAATGTTGTTTTGAATCCATTGATCAAGAACGAGTTTTGGAAATAGTTAAAGATATATTAAAAGAAGTAAGTCTATTTTTTTTTAATACGTATACGTATGCATTATTTGAGAAAAAGTAAATAACATTTCTCTTTTTTAGAGTGATTATGCAATTCATAAATATGATATAGTTTGCTACGTATTATCCAAATATCACCACTTTATATAAATATCTTACCACGTATTGCGGCAATAACAAAAGGGTGATGCGGAAGGCTATAAAAGCTTACTAAAAACCTCACTCATAAGTGACACTAAACATTCCTTTCCACCATACTCACTGAAGAGGCTCCAAAAAAAAAAAAATTTTTGAAAACGAATGTATCGTTTGCTAAGTCGTTAAGTGGTGTAGTCGTATTTACTTTGATTAATCTAAAATTTTTCTGGTAGGTGGTTAATTCTGCTATTACGGAGCTTGTTAATGAAAAGTCATAATGGAATCAAAGAAAACCATCCAACGTTTTGTCACTGGGCTTTGATGTTAACTTGGACATAATTATTAAATGCAAACTGTGCTTAGCTACCGAACGTTTACGAATTTATGGTGGTGGATGAAAGTTCGTGCACAGATTATATTAAGTGTTCATCAGCATGGAAAAAGCTTTATTCTAACACATTGATTAAAAGATTTTTATATATAATTAAATAACACAAGTAAAAAGATATAGTATGCTAAGGCCATTTTGGACATTAAAATCTTTTGTATTACTAAATAAATTAACATTACTAAATAAGAAGAAAAGTATGAATTTAAATAGCTTATTTAAATGATCGATCAAAACTATAACATTCTTAAAAGTCAAAACTAAGTTAAAGAGAAGGTCAAAGCCAAGACGATCGTCAAAGCGAAAGTCATAATGAAAGCAAAAATGTAAGTTAAAGCGAAAGTCAAAGCAAAGGAGAACTGATTTTATTTTTATTTTCGCTTTGACTTTCATTTTGGCTTCACTTTAATTTTCGCTTTGACTCTAATGTTTATCATTACTATATTAAGCATGATAGGAAACCTGGTTACTGTTTTTTTTGGATGACACTATGTACGTAAGTCTTGTAGCTTAGTCTCTTAGTATAGTTCGGAGATCGGACAGGCCGTTATATGCATAATTATAATCTGTGCTCGGTTTAAGTCACGAGATGATGATCATCGGGATATTCAATCAACAAGTGGAATTTATGCATATTGTATCACACAAATCAAATTAAAATCTAACGCGACAATTTGATTTCTTGTAAAGTTTTAAGATAAAGATACGCGTGTTTGCTCAGAATACACAATCAACAAGTGCAAATTTATCGTTATGCATATTTCTTTTCCTAATTGTAAATTCAAGTTTGAACATAATTTACATAGTCTTGAGCAATAAAATAATTTTTTGAAACATACTTTAACTTATTAAAGAAATACCTGGTTTGAGTTGTTCTATTATGTGTTATAAGATACAATCTTTTCTACATATTGTGATTCTATTCTGATTTAGAGTTAGTCTAGTTGATCTATTTTTGTTAGCTTTTCTGCACATATAATAGCGATAAAACCTTTTTTTTTTGACCATCGCCTATTACTATATAATAAATTTCAGCATTTTATAGTATTTTTCTATTTAAAATATATATGTACGATAATAACCAGTAATATTTCTAGTGCTAGTTTTCAATAATATTTATAAAAAGATTATTATCTAATATATATTTGTTTATACTAATAGTCGTTCAAGTTTTCAGATAGTAGAGACATAAACAACTATGATGCTTATTATAATAAGTTAATAATAAAAGG